GGCAGGAGACTCGCTTGAGCCCAGGAGTTGGAGGTTGCAGTGAGCTGAGATGCCACGGCACTCCACCCAGGGGAACAGCTTGAGGCTCCTGTCTCAAAAAAAAAAAAATCTCCTTTGAGAGCTGTCCCCCAGTAAATTGCTTTCACAAGGGTTCCTGTGAAGGCTTGGCTTCTGGGCACTCTGAAGCACTGCCTGCTTTTCAGAGTTTCTTGTTTGGAGATGATGCTCCCAGTTGTATCAAGGGAGCTGCTCCCAGCCTTGCCTTGCACACAGGAGAGATGGATTACTCTACAGCTTCTTAGGCAGAGCCTCTCACCACCTTAGACAAATGACATTGACCTCTTGGAACTTCATTTTCTTCATCTGTGAAAGGTGGTAATAATAGTGACATTACATGGTGTATAGAATATGAGCAAGCTACCTGGCATTTGGCAATCCTCCCTAGATGGAAACAATAGCTGCGGTTCCAAAGCTTTTAACTTCTAACTATTTTCACTTCTTTTCTCCTACTTGCATAATCTGCTGACGTAGGAGGATGTGATTTCCATCAAATCAGTGGAGAACTGTGGGACTGGAATCCCGCTGGGGCCCCTCTCTTGCTTTTTCTTCCCCAAGTTGAAAAAGTTCCTCAACTTCAGCAAAATCCATTTTGCACAGTAGGGAAGGAAGGGAAGGGAGCCACAGAGCAGAGGGGAAGTGTGGATTTAACTCCTTGGTTGCCATACCTTTTAGGAACAAAAAAAACCTCACAGACCTGCCTAGTAACTTTGTTTTGAAACACAGAGGTGTCCTGCGTGGTCCCCTCAAGAGCCAACTGATTCCACTTAATGCACTGTGGAGCAACTTTTATAAAGACCCCTCAGGCTTACATGTGTTAATTTGGAGTGATGTTTAGATATATCGTCAAGAGGGAAAAGCCCCCGTATCACATCTCTGGGAGGACACTTAAGAAACTGGGAGAGGGGTGGTGCCTGTGGCTCAAAGGAGTAGGGCACTGGCCCTATATGCTGGAGGTGGTGGGTTCAAACCCAGCCACGGCCAAAAAAAAAAAAAAAAAAGAAAGAAACTGGGGGGGAAGCTGGCTGGGGAGAGTGACTCACTTTTCTTGGTTTATTCCTTTATATCATTTGAAATGTATGCCCTAAGCCTACAGTGTCTATTCAAAAAATAAAATTTAGTTGAAAATCAAAAGTCAACCAACTATGTCTTTATCATTGAAAGACATCTCAACTTGGGATGAATAAGACAGCACTGAGAATTCTGGCCACTGGGAAGGTGCTTCATGTTTACGGTTTGGTGCAGGGGGAGAGTGAAGTTCTTTGAAGTCCAAAATGCATGAAGTACAAAAACTTCAGGATGGGTGGTTAAAAAAAAAAGTCATGAGCTGCTGGTGTTTCTGGGCCACAGCCTGGCGGAAGGGTAGGGTGACTCTCTCCCATGGCTGAGTATTTTTGGGCTGCCAGACACTCTACACCACCAACTATTTTTTTCCTCACAGATGTTAATAATCTCTTCAGATGAAAGATGAAGGAGCTAGGCTGGATGCAGTGGCTCACACCTGAAATCCCAGCACTCTGGGAGGCCAAGGAGGGCAGATTGGTCTGAGCTCATGGGTTCCAGACCAGCCTGAGAAAGAGTGAGACCCTGTCTCTAAAAAATAGCCGGGTGTTGTGACAAAGTGAGACTCTGTCTCTGAAAAAAAACCCCAGCGTTATGGCAGTCTCCTATAGTCGCAGATGCTCTGGAGGCTGAGGCAAGAGAATCGCCTAAGCCCTGGAATTGGAGGTTGCTGTGAACTGTGACACTACAGCACTCTACCAAGGGTGATAAAGTGAGACTCTGTCTCTAAAAAAAAAACCACCATCTGTGGGATCTGTGGAATCTGTGTTGATTTCCACTACTTCTTTTCCCATCTGGGTCAAATCCTGACACCTCTGAGGGAAGAAGAAAAGGAAGCAGGAGGAGCCACAGGACTGGAGAATGTGGTCAAGGCCAAGGCCTAAAGCTTCAGGAAACAACAGACAATTAGATTTTGAGAAAGGAAATGAGGGAGGAGGTACCTATTGACCCAAGCTCAGGCTTGGCTGTGCAAGGCAACCCTTTGCCCCCCAACCCAGTCAGAATAAGCACATCCATTTATGGACTAATACATTCAGTAAGTAGTTGAGTGAATAATGGGACCCAGACACTGGAATGCAGTGGGGACAAAGACAAGCCTGGTCTTCATGGAACTTACACTGGAGGTTCTCTTCCCACCCCAACCCCTCAATTGGTAGTAATATGGTGCAGTGTGGGGACCACTGGCTACAATCAGACAGCCCATTCCACCACTTATAACTGTGATCTTGAGCAAATAACTTAGCTTCTCTGTGCTTCAGTTTTCACCTCTGTAAAACAGGGATGATCATAATAATAACTACCTTATGAAATAATAGGTAAAATTTTTTTGCATAGTGCCTGGCCTAAAGTAAACACTTGATAATATTAGCTATCATTATTATCATTAAATACACTTATATACACTGTTTCTTGAGTACAGAGAACACATCTTGTTCTTAGTTGAGTTCCCAGTACCTAGAATAGCATCTAGCATGTAAGAGGTGCTTAACAAGTACTTAGTGAGTACATGCATAGACAAAACGTGGCAGATAGGACAAGCTGGGCCTTTCCTTGTCAACCCAGATAGAACACTACTATATGCTGGGAACTCCAAGGGACATTAAGAGTGGGTCCTGCCCTTGGGGAGTACCTGACTTGGAAGCTAGATATAAATGTATTGAACTCTGGGAGGCTGAGGCTGGCGGGTCCCTTGAGCTCACGAGTTCGAGATCAGCCTGAGCAAGAGCCAGAGCCGATGTCTAAAAATATAGCCGGGCGTTGTGGCTGGTGCCCTAGTCCCATCTACTCAGAAGGCTGAGACAAGAGAATCGCTTAAACCCAAGAGTTTGAGGTTGCTGTGAGCTGTGACATCATGACACTCTACCCAGGGAGACAAAGTGAGACTCTAAAATAAAATAAAATAAATGTATTAAATGAATGCATATATGAAGAAATGAGTGACTAAGAAACACTCTGGAGGGCCCCTTTAAACACATCCTAAGCCACACCCAGACAATTACACACACGATTTTCTCCAGAAAAGACACCAGAGGGCGCTAAGCTCAGCCCGTTTCAGCTCCTGGAGTCGCTCCTGGGTATTTGAGAGGACGCCGAGAGGTGACGTCAGATCCTCCTGGACGTCACGCAGCGGGGGGCGGGGCAGGGAGTAGCCAAACGTAAACCTACCAGGAGTTTCCCCGGCCCTGGGATCTGGCTGCGACGGGGGAGCTTCAAACTTTGGCGGATCCTTGCTGCTTACAGAAGTCAGAGGAGGTGTCATACTGTCCGACGGAGAGCGGGCAGGCGGAAGTCCATACAAGCGACTGCTGCTTTCCGAAGAGTGGTCTCAGTCGGCCGCTCTGGGTTCCCCGGGAGCGCATGCGCAAGGCGAGCGGTGCAGACCGGCCTTGATTGGCCTCACCCGCCAAGGTGCAACGGGCCTGTGTGGCGTGTGGTCTCGATCGCAGAGGGTGGCAGCGAGGACCGCGTGCTCTATACTGAGCACGCCTGCAAGTGCCAGGTGCGAGGGCGATAAGTCAGTGGGGTCGTTAGTGGATAAAACCCCAAGTGTCCAACAGTAGGTTGGTTTTTTAATTATTGGTTTTTAAATCATGGGTTTATCTAAATAATTATATGTTGAATGCCTTTCAGTGTGCCACGCACCGTTTTAGGCCCTGGGCAAACAACAAAGAACAAGACCCTTGTCTCGTGGAGTGGACGTCTTGTTGGGGTCGGGAAGTGGAGTGCCGGTAAAGAATAAATGACTGACTTTGGTTAGAAGGTGGCAGATGTTCGGAGAAAGAAGAGCAGGGGCATCAGTGGGTGCGGTATTAGCGGGGATGGTACGGGGCCAAATTGGGTAAGAATTTGGGCACAGCCAAGGAGGCGAGGGTGCGAGCCAGGTGGCTACCGAGAGGAAGAGCATTCCCAGCATTCGGAAAACTAGAGCTGACTCCCGGAGGCGAGAACGAGGGTGGCATGTGAGAAAGAGCTGGGAGGTCTTTGTGGCGGACAGAATTGAGCCGGGAAGAATGGTACGACTTGCAGTCAGAGCTGTGGGGGAGAGCAGGGTGCAGGTCAGGTAGAGCTTGCAGGCCGCTCTAACGTTTTTTGCCTTACTCTGGATACAGGTTTTTGGGGTTCTTTTGTTTGTTTGTTTTTGCAGTTTGGTGGGGCCGGGTTTGAACCTGCCACCTCCAGTATATGGGGCTGGCGCCCTACTCCTTTGAGCTACAGGTGCCACCCTGGATAAAGGTTTTGAGCAGAGGAATGGTGTAGCTTGAGTCATTTTTTTTTTTCTCCCCGAGTCTGGGTTTGACCTCGCCACCTCTGGTATATTGGGCTGATGTCCTACTCCTTTGAGCCACAGGCCCCGCCCTTGAGTAGTTTTTATTAGCCTCACTCTCAGTTGTAGAGAAGTTAGGGTGGAAATACAGAGATTTGTTATTAGTGGTGCTCTGCAGCCACTAACAAGGCTTTCTAAAAATAGTGACAATAACTGCATGAACCACCTTTTGTAGTGAGTATGGTGAACATACCAGGTTGTAGGGAGGATCTCTCAGGCATCATTTCCTTTAATCTCAGAACAGCCTGTAGAAGCAGTGCTGTCACTGACTGTAAGCATGCAGGCCTGTGGGGAGGAGAATGCTCAATAAACATTTGCTTCATAAGTCTTTTTTTAATTGTAAAATGTGAGAAACATAAAATTTATCATTTTAACTATTTTTAAGTGTACAGTTAAGTGGCACTAAGTGCATTCACATTGTTGAATAGCCATCACCACTATCTCCTGAATGCCTCTTTTTCTTGTTCTTTCTTTCTTTTCTTTCTTTTTTTTTTTTTCTTGACAGAGTCTCTCCCTGTTGCCCAGGCTACAGTACCATGGCCTTAGCCTAGCTCACAGCAACCTCAAACAATCCTCTTCCCTAGCCTCCTGAATAACTGGGACTACAGGCTCCCATCACAATGCCTGGCTAATTTTTCTATTTTTAGTAGAAACAGGGTCTCACTCTTGCTCAGGCTGGTCTTGAAGTCCTGAGCTCAAGCACTCCATGCACTTTAGCCTCCCAGAGTGCTAAGATTACAGGTGTGAGCCATGGTGCCCAGCCACGCCCAGTTATTTTTAGAGATGGGGGGGGTCATGTTTTTTGTTCTGACTGGTCTCCAGCTCTTGACCTTAAGCAGTCTACCACCTTGGCCTCCCAGGATGCTGGGATTACAGG